CCTCGGGCGCGGGCGGGCCGCGGGGCTGCACGGGGATGGGGCTCTTGTAACCCTCTCCCGCGCTGCTGGCAGATGAGGACAGTCTGTGCGGGGACAGGAGCGACCTGAAGGCGCCCGCGTCGCAGATCAAGAGGAAGAAGCGGCGGCATAGGTAGGGGCCCAGCTCCCGGCGCAGAAATTGGTGCAAACGAGGGGTGGAAGGGACCTCGAGTCCAGCGGGGCCCCAACTCTGATGGGTTGCACACTGCCAACTTAAAACCAGACTACTTTAAGTACCGCCAGCAAACTTTTGTCAGGTAAAGTAACCGTCATCAGTCTGTTAGACGCCTGCCACTGGCAGGGTTCTGTGTACTGATGGTGGTACCCATACCACAGATTGGGAACTGCTGATGTAGTCCAACCCTCTGCTCAAAGCAGGACTGTCCCCAACCAGATCATGCCAGCCAGAGCTTTGTCTGGCTGGCTCTTGAAAACCTCCAAGGATAGAGCTTCCACCACCTCTCTGGGTAACCTGCTCCAGTGTTTTACCACCCTCCTAATGAGAAAACTCTTCCTAATATCCAGCCTAAACTTCCCTTGCGTCCTGCTCCTCTTCCTCTTTAACTGAGTGTCTTGCAAGGATTTCCTTCCTGCTGTTGCCTGAGCTGGGGTGTGGGGCAATGCAACACTTACCAGGCTTAAGATTCAGGACCCAAGTGACCCCTTCTGAAACATCAAGATGTAGGGGGTTCTGTGACCAATTCTGCTCTGCGCTACTGGTACACGACAGCCTGTGTTCTTGCTGGTGGCAGATGACAGAACTAGGAGCAATGGTCTCAAGTGGCAGCAAGGGAGGTTTTAAGTTGGCTAATAGGAGAACCTTTCTCACTAGGAAGGTAGTAAAGCACTGGAACAGGCTAGAGAGGTGGTGGAGTCTTCACTTCTGGGGTTTTTTAAGGCTTGGGTAGACAAAGCCTTGACTGGGGTGATTTAGTTGAAGCTGGTCCTGCTTTCAGCAGGGGGTTGGACTACATCAACGTTTCTCAACCTGGGGGTCACAACCCAAAAGTGGGTTGCAAGAATAATATGAAAAGGTCATGAACAAACTTTTAAAAATGGATCAACAAACCTTAAACGTGTTTCTCCTTTAAAGGAAAGTCCGTGGGGAACTGTCACTTTTCCCTTGCAGGCTGGCAGAGCTCCAGCCTGCAAAGGGCTGCTGTGGGGGAGGGGGCATGCCCCACATGCCCACCCACCCTCTGCCCCACATACTGGTGGGCTGCAGGCAGCAGATCAGGAGTGAGGGGCACTAGGTCAAGACTGGCCATTGGTTTTTTGAGCCACTTGTAAATACTTTTGAGAATCCCTAGATTAGATGACTTCCTGAGATCCCTTCCAACCCTCACTTCCTGTGATTTTTTTTTTTTTTTTTCTTCTTCTTCTCCCCCTAATCTGAGGGAATGGATCTAGACAGGGCTGTGGGAGAGGTTGGGTGTATTCATTGGTTTCCTTCAGTGGCTTGAGGGTTGTTAGGGGTGTCAGGCCTGCCAGAGTGAAAGAAACAATTTAATTTAAAAGTAATTGCTTCCTCCCCTGTGTGGTAACTGTTTGCTTGTTGGCTGTGTCTGCAGGACAGTGTTTACGGCTCACCAGCTGGAGGAATTGGAGAAGGCTTTCAACGAAGCTCATTACCCAGATGTGTATGCCCGGGAAATGCTAGCAATGAAAACTGAGCTCCCAGAGGACAGGATACAGGTATGTCTATTTCTGCACTGAACAGCTCTGTCCACAGCCAGATTATGCCCCCGATGCGCCATCTGTCACCTAGGCGGTCCAAGAGGTAACATGCCCACCACACTAATGTACTGTTGCCAACATATGGCCACAGTTGAAGCATAGCATCTTTTAGAGAGCTTGTCAGCACCTGCTGAAATGCATGTGGTTTGTTGTTTTGGCTCTGCTGCTTTGCCTCTTGTCTTCTCCTCCAGGTGCCATCCTCCTTGGCTCTGTGTCCTGTATGGTGTTTAATGCCCCAAAAGGCAATTTAGATTGCCTACTCTGATCTGTATATCACAGGCCATTAAAGTTCACCCAAATACTTGTATATTGAGTCCAGTAACTAATGTTTGTGTGTTTGTGAGGCAAAACTATGGAGTAGGAGCCCATGACTTAAGGACATAGATGATTTCAACAAATATTGAGCCAAGTCTTTTTGGGGTGTTTTTTGGGGTGTTTCTTTTTGTTTGTTTTCTCCCTTTACTCGAGGACATGGGTGACTCATAGGGGGACACGTGCTGCTGCCGCCCCTCCTGGAAATTGGCCCTTGCCAGCCGGGCAGTGGGGAGCACTTTCAGTTTGCTACCGGCGTTTCTGGGGTTGGTAATTGGCTGCTGGGGGACTCTTTTTCTTCCCTCCCCCACCCTGTTGACGACTGGCTGCTGGTGCCCACCAGGAGGCACCAGTTGCCTGTGCTGAAGCAGTGTGTACTGTGGACAAAACTTTTACACTTGGGGCCTGATCCTGCTGCTCCCTTTCCCACTGAAGATCATGGGAGTTCTGCTGTTGATTTCACTGGAGCATTATAGCTTGGACCACAGCCTTGTTGCTTTTGTATTCCCATGAATTTGGGCTGTGAATATTGGGTTATGGGAGAGAGGGTGTCTGCTTTCCAAGAGCACCTTTTATTTGTGTAACATGATTGAGTAAGGCTTCATTTTTCTGGGAATATGAAAGGTTTCCAGTGCTACCAGCGAAAATAAGACTTGCATGCAGGCAGCTGTTTCTAAAAGGTGCACTTACCACCTCCATCTTCATATCAGAATGGCAAAACATTTGAAACATCCCCAGTAGGGGCTTTAACTGCAAACTCCTTCATTCAGTTGTGATAAACATCATGTAACTTGTGCTATCTCTCTCTCTCTCTCTCTCTTTTTTCCCTCCCACTTCTTTTCTTTATTACTTACGCAAACTTTTACTCTCCTCCATCTAAATAAACTCTCACACTTGATTGTGCCTCCTACATGTCTGAACACTCCCATGACATATGTACATAAACACGCATACAAACTCCTGAACACTTGCACACTTGAATATCTGGACACACTCCTTCCCAACACCTCATCATGAACATATGCAACCCTGAACACGTATGTACACATGCCCTGGACCTTTGCCTTAAGGTCTGGTTTCAGAACCGAAGAGCCAAGTGGCGGAAGCGTGAGAAGTGCTGGGGCAGGAGCAGTGTCATGGCAGAGTATGGCCTCTACGGGGCAATGGTGAGGCACTCCATTCCTCTCCCTGAGTCCATCATCAACTCCGCCAAAAGTGGGCTCATGGGCTCCTGTGCCCCTTGGCTACTGGGTAAGGCAGCACCTAGCACAGTAGGGGGGAACATGTTCTGTTGAGGAAGAGTGATGGAAGAGCCATGGAGCTAGTGAGAGGCTGATGCACATGATAACTAAAATGCTTTGCATCTCACCCCTTGCTATCCAGTTGGTGCTTTGTTTTAAATGCTCCACTTCTTTTGCAAGGGATTCAAAGTACATAATATGTCCTTAGGTTACAATTTTAAAAGTATTCATTAAGTTAAAAGTGCATGTGGCTAAACATTGCTTTTTGCTTCTGCCTAATCAAGAACTGACTTGTGGTAATAAGCAACTGTATTTACTATTATCATTAATAATATTTCCTAGGTTCATTGCAAATTATTATAATGGTCTCTGAGTCGAGGAAACACTTATGCACACGTTTAATCTGAGTGAAGGAAGTATTATGTGCATATTTACTATAAAGTTACTGTAACTTTAACTACCAGGCTTTTTTGTGTAGGGGGACATGATAATAGCTCTTGCTATAACATAGTGTCTCAGATTCCCAGGTAGAGGTTAGAGCTCTGTTGTGCTCTGTACAAGCAAATAGATGGTTCCTATTGCAGAGAACTGTGTGCATCCTAGATTCACAGTTGGCATCAGAGGCTCCATCCAAGACTCTAGAAATGAGGGGGAGCTATTCTGTTGACCCCAGTAGGCTTTGGGTCAGTTTTTTTTTAACTGAATGTATGTATAGGGGGCAGAAGTGGGGGACAGACAAGGGAGTGGTGGGCTTTCATCAGCAAGGAGGCACCAGGCTCTCGGCTGTGCCTGGTGAATTGTCACCAGACATTATCTGCTTGCCCTTTTTCCTTTTGGAAGGGATGCATAAGAAGTCGATGGAAGTGACCAGAAAATCTGAAAATGAGGAGAAGGTGATGGACAACTGGAGATCAGAACATGCTGAGGAAGAATTAAAAGTGAAGCAAGCAGATCAGCAAAGAAGCTCTGACAAACTGTGTACAATGGACACTTCAGAGGACACAGCCATCGACCTCTCTAGCACGGCCAAGCAAGAAAAACGGAGCACTTTGCGGCAGTGTCTCAGCAGAGACCTCCGGACAGAGAAGCAGGACAATGACCACTAAACTCTGGGTGATGGGGTGGATGGCATGGTAGGAGAGCAAACCCTGATCATGCTTTGGAAAGATAAGAATATTTATAATTTTCTAACTTTTTTTTCAAATAATGAACACACACTTTTTATATGAATTTGAGATGGTTTTTAAAACTGGATCCCACCACAATTTCCCTTTCCCTCTGACTTTTTAAAGCTGTTAATTTGTAAACAACATAATAGATACAGTGATGGGGACATCTCAGTCTGGCTGAGAGAATGCCTGTGCTTTCCGAGCAGCTCTAGTATTTGATGAAGAGAAACCTCCCTTCCAGTCCATAATACAAACAGCTGCAA